ATGAATCGGCCAGTCAAGCTTTAGTGACAGCTCACACTTCGCTTTGACCTCCTGAAAAAACACGGTTCACCCTCGACCCTTCAGCCATGTCTCTTGCCGGCACCTACGAGTATGCTTCTAACGAGAACTACAGCGAGTGGCTCTCCGCCGTCGGTGAGTTCCTTCTGGACGTTGGTGGAGTCCTATTTCTATCTTATTTTGTGTTTCGTGATTCTCTTGGTTGCCGTACATGAAAATTCGCTTCCGGTGTTATTTTGAAATACCATGCTCTTGAAATTTAAGGATAAAGATTTTTTTAGTGCTTGATTTCGTTAAAATATGTATGTGTGCCTAAATCGATTTATTCCCTCTCATTTATATTCATATTTTTTCTTTCTTTCTACCTTCTTTTCTTCTTTTTAGTATTTCTCCGAGTGTTTCACTAAGACCTCAATTCTCTCCACCCCAGGTATTCCCGCCGAGTACGTAGCCAAGATGGTGGCCGCTAAGCCCGTGCTGGAAGTGTCCCAGAATGGCAATGTCGTCACCATCAAGACCGTTGCCGGCGACAAGAGCTTCACCAACACCATCAAGCTCGGCGAGGAGTCCAAGGCTAGCCTGCCCGGCGGCGTCGAGTACACGGTGAGAATAGTTATTGTGCATTATTTGGAATCATTTCATTTACTGTTGATATCGCTGAACTGAATCTACCAACATGTTTTTCTAACTTGAACATATACTAAAGATGATCAAGGATTCGGAACTCTACCTTACTACAATATATCCCAAGGAAAATGCAAACCACATAATCTACAAGTTTTCCATCTAACTCAAAGTCTATAACAGGACTTCGACTCGAATCATGAAGCTAAATACTTCCCTCCCTCCTGCAGGTTAGCCTTTCTCAGTCTGGCAACACCCTGAAGGGAACCTGGGCCATGGGAGGCAAGTCAGGTGACGCCTGCGTGGAGGTCACCGGCAGCAACCTCATCCAGGTTTGATGCTACTTAATTTCCTTTTGCTTTTCTGGTATAATGACATGGAATAGAGTTCTTTTTCGAGTTATGTAAGGCTCTTGTCAAGGAGGGGTGGGGGGGGGGGGGTATTCGGGCCCCATTGGGAATAGCAGTATAATTATAATGAATAATTGATGTAATATCTACTTTGAGTAGCATAGTAATATAATAGATATACATTATCTGTATTATATAAAATGCCGTTAGTGCTATTTAGATTTTAGAATGCAGTACTCCCTTAAAGGGGTGTATCATGCAAAATATGCTGTAATGTCACACGACTTCTGTACCAATCATTTCCAGAGCATGAGCCTCGGAGGCGTCAAGGCCAAGAGGGTGTACAACCGCAAGTAGATGAGCTGCACTCGCTCTTTCCTCTTCACACACACACACCCACGCGCACGCAGTAGTGTCCAAGAGGCTGTTACGCTGTCTCCCCCTGCTGTTGGGGTTCTCGTCGAAACAGCAACTCATTCATCGCTGCTGTGTGGCTTCGCCTACCTATACTCTTCTATTTTCGTTTTCTATGGCAAAGCTTTTTCTATCATCCCCAATGCTCTGTTGAAATAAAAGAAAATATTTCTGTGGTCTCTTCATTTGTTTCCCTATTAGCAGTTTTGTTTTCTTATTTACTGATTAAAAGATAATTGTGATTTCAAAAGGTATATAGGATGATTACAACAGAATAAGCAACTTTGAGGCCGAAGGAATATTGACCATGGTTTAAGTATGGAAACATTCATTATCACCTAACAGTTATTTTTAGTACACCAAACAATGAAAACTGACATAATTAATGTAGACTGAGTTGCCAGAATACGAAGAAATATCAACCAAAAAATTGGTATATTAGTACGTCAAACAACAATCAACGTAGATTGTGTGACCGGATTATGAAAGTATGATAAAAAAAAGCGTGTTCGTGCCCTTGAATACGACCCTAGATTACTTCTTATCAGTATTACTGAGATACACACAGAAATAAATTTCCTGACACAGAAAATAAAAGATGAAATGGGAAGGAATAAACGAGAGCGAGATCAAGATAGATAACTCATCCTTTCAACGCAGCTTTATCGTATTTTTCAGCATTTTTGCCAAAATAATTATAAAAGGCGAGTGGGTGGAGATGGGGGGGGGGGTAAGAAGGGGCAATTACACCTCTCCCCTTTCCTCCTACAGTAGGCCTTGTCCTCCAGCTCATGCTTTTGTTTTGTCTATTAAGCTGTAATTCAGATATATAAAACGTAAATTTCCAGTCACGAAAAGCTGACCGAATCACCAAATCCAATAATATATTAATAGAATTATGGCTATCAGTTACATGCATCATCGTATCTGGAAGTGTGCCTTATGTATGCTTAACCTTAGCCCTGCCAAAAGCTCTTGTCCCATTGGCCGTGAGGACCTAGGAAGGCAAAATGACGAGGGGAGGGTGAGGGTGAGGAGGGGAGAAAATATAAGAAGAGAAAAAGGAAAATATACAGCAAACAAAAGACGCAATAGGGAGGGTAGACAAGACAAAGAGGAAGAATAAAAGGAAAACAGTAACACAAAAAAAGGAAATCAGACCCGGACACATTTTATCAGAATGAACAGAAGACTGTTGCTCATTTCATTCAAATTCAGACAAGAAACTGCAAATATTATAAAGAATCGCAATTATATTTAATTCACAATCACGTATACATACATGCGATAGTCTATACGTTATAATGACAGATAAACATCCAGTTATTCAACAAAACACACTCTCTCTCTCTCACTCACACACACACACACACACACTCTTCTCTCTCTCTCTCTCTCTCTCTCTCTCTCTCTCTCTCTCTCTCTCTCTCTCTCTCTCTCTCTCTCTCTCTCTCTCTCTCTCTCTCTCTCTCTCTCTCTCGTCGAGGTTATCATGAAGGGCTTTGTTATCACAGGGGAAGATACAGCTTGCATAAAGTCAATGTACTGTAATCAGGAAAAGGTTCAGGGGTGAGGCGGGAGAGAGGTATATAAAAATATGACTAATGATTATTTCAAATGAAGATATGGCTGATGCTAAGTTTAGATAAAAACAAAAAAATGGAGACTGCGAAACATGGAAAATATAAGATACTCTTTTTCTTATTCCTCTTTTTTTCTCTTATTTAGTGGTAGGAGCCGTGGTCAAAGGAGGGGCAGGGATCGGATAACCACCAAAATCGAAATTAAATGGGCTAGATGGTGAAGGGGCAAGCCTTACTGCTCATATTAAGGGTAAGGAATCTTCGTTATTGGCCATGGCGAGCCTGAATAAAATTTGGAAAAGAAACGGTCTACCCCCCAGGGCGCCCATTAGGGATAAGGGTTAGGAAATTAACCGAGGGAATACCATGCCCATGGCTCCCGGATGCCGTTCATGAGACACAAAGCCAGCCTTTCATCTTTTCAGCATGACTCTCACACCTCAGGAGTGGGATAGAAGAAGGGATGAAGAAGATACGGAAGAGGAAAGGAGAAAAAAAATACCAAGCAAAATTAGTTGAGGCTGAGGCCCAAGGTAGGGGTGATCCCCTATACTGGGCCTCAGTCTCTGTCTCCTAAGACCTGGCACGAAAACGAGCAAGGTATTGGGAGGGTTCATCAACCTTAAACTATCTGACCATTGCTGCAACTAATGGGGGCGGTAGAGGTATTGTAGGTCTTTGTTGGTTTCCTTCCCTCTGTCCTGCATACTCTTTCATATGAAGGTTGAATTGATCTAGTTCCATTCTTCTACACCTAGTAATCCAGATGGTAATTTTATGCACATCTCTCTTATGCTTTCCTACAAAATCTCTGCCTCTCGATAAACAATGCAACTGACCATCTTGCTTCTGCCTCTTATAAACCCAAACTGCATACCTACAATCTCTGCGTCTCCCAGTCTTCTAACCATTCCGTAATTCCATCAACCTGTAGTCACACAGTATAATGTGCTACCTTTCCAACTATAAAAAGGGATGAGTGAGCTGCATATCCATGACAGTCTTCCTCAGCTCTTTCAGTTGTTTCATAGCGCGCCCTCAGTGTCTCTACCATTAGGCCCACGTAGAGCTGCTCTCACGTCTCCCGCTCTCTACACCCATTACCATACATCTTTTTTCCTTGACATATAAATTTCCACTATACAACATTATAAAATGACTGTGATGCATAATCACATATTCACATGACTGCACACATAGTCATATAGAATCACAACAGGTTTTCAGTTTCTTGCATTAGTATACGGTACACGGAAAATAACTTTTTAAAAATTCTTGTACAATATTTCATCGTCATGAATGTGTAGAATCTTTGAATTCTACATACTGCACTTCACTGCATATTTGATGTCCACACCTTTTTATTAGTTACAAATATTGATTTAACAGTGGCCATCTCCATGGAGAACTTCAACAGATATCAAGACATTTCTAGTTGAGTATAGAAATCAGGGGAATGGGAACTGGTAGCAGTACTCTTTATTATCAATTACCACATTTCTTTTTTTCGCTGGGGTTAAAGGTGGAATACAGACCCTAGATATAACAATAGTACTGGGCAGGTTTTGTTGCATTATCATATATTATAAATATATTCCAAAGAAAGTTATATCTTTGCAAATTACATTTATCTCATTCAGTGCCATATAATTATTTTAAAAAGGCTCCAATTCTAAAGATGTGCCTTACATAGAATAAAGTCGTCTCCATTTCTATCAATAGCATATTAATTCCAGTTCCCCCCCCCCCAAAAAAAAAAAAAAAAAAAAATGGAAAGTACTGTGTTCTAAGAAACAATGAATTTGCTTTATTTATTCAAGTCCTACATAATTTTTTGATTTTCACAAACAATACTGAAAGTATCAATTACTCTTGCACACAAACAAAAAACAACCACTATGGATAACAGGTATATGCATATTTGCATCAGTAAAGACGACAGATATTTTGCACTTTGCATTTTTACAAATCATTACTTTGGATAAGTAAAATAATATGGATGTTACTACACATTTATTATCAAGATAGTGGTCAGGATATATTCATTTTATTAATAACATTTTTCTGTGTAGATGTATATCAGTTCCAGACAGATAAAAAAAACTTTTATCCCTCAGTATTTCTTTAAAACATATTGCTGTTTCCATATATACTTCATTGGTGTTGTATTTGAAAAGGGAAAAATCATGGAATACCTTACTGGAATTATGATAGCTCCTAAAATAAAGACTAATTAACTGAGGCCAATTATTTAGGATAATTTGAAAACTCACAATTGTATCTTTCATATTTATATCATAAAGCAGAAAGATTATACAAAAAAATATTGATTGTATAACCACGGAAGCCTGGGATTTTCATACTTTAGTATGATAAATATTTGACTTTTATAAACAGTAAAAGAGTGATATAAAATGAAATCTTTTAATGAAAATACATTCTGTTTTCCATACTCTTGATATAGTGTAAATAAAGTCATTAGAGTTAGAAATAAAACAGCAATTGTTTTACAATTCATAACAAAAATAACTATGAATTAATGAAATATCAAGAAAAGATAAATAAAAACATCCATAACAACAATGACAATGACCACATGAACAACAATAATAAAGATTAATTTCTGTCAACATCCCCTCTCATATACATACAAACAAGAACCTTCCTCTGCCCCGCACTTTCAAGAAAAGGAGAGAAAACAGTGATAAAAAAAAAAAAAAGTAAATATAAAATAACACCTTATCTATTTCCTCGGCTTCTTGCTCTTATGAGACCTGTACACGCCTTGCATGCTGGCACCTGTACCACGGAATTTCTTGAGGGACTTTCTGCTAACACTCGTCAACTCCCGCGAGAAGGATGACTTATCACCATCCTGTGGGTTACCCTTTGTGAATCTTGCTGCACCTCTGTCTCTTGCTGCTGGTGCTGTTGGAAAAATTGTTTCTAGTATTAATATTTAAGATCAGTAAAGAACTGAGAAACATCATGCAGAAACCACCTGACTGCTTTACTATACATATAATACAATATATTTTGTGAGAACTACAAGAACAATAAAGAAAAGAAAATTAAAAATGGATGTAAAGATACTTTTGATGTTTAATTTTAGATTCACAAAAACAAGAAAGGTTGTAAAACTTACCAGTCAATCAATATTTTGCCTTATAATTTAGTTTCTTCAGGATATTTATTGCTACAATCACTATTTTACCAATACATACACCAGTACACTTTTAGAGGGATATACTTATTCTTCAAAAAGGATACACATATAAAAAATGCAATGTGACATAAAACCATCTATATGGTATTTACATAGATTTCCATAAGTTGCTCACCTCTGAATTTCCCTTCTTCATCCTGGTCTCTGCAACGGAGGGACTTCATTTTCATTTTACCCTTTCCTGCCTTCCCTCCAACCATTCTCTCTAACTCCTTCTTCTTCTGCTGTTTCTTCTGTTTCTTTGATAGTGGGCCTGAAGGCTCATCCTCCCCACCCTTCCTTTTCTTCAGTAACATTTCCTTTTGTTTCAGCCTTCCTGAAGAATGAACAGTGAACCCATTGGTGCCGGGGACACGCAGTTCC